AATCCGAATTTATTGGTCGAAGGTATGATGAAAATTATTTAAAATTTGGATTTTGTGCTTTTAATATGGTAGATTTGGTTCAACTACAATGTGTAGTATATACACTGTATGCTATATATTATGTGTTTCACTATCATAGTAGTTGTACAATAATATTTACTATACAATTCACTGTAGTTATTAGTTATTACTTATTACTCATAAGGTTTTTTAATATAGAAAATAATTTTCAAATTCATTCATTAAGGTGATCTGCTGATTCATTAATTAACCAATCTTAAAATGTATATGGACTCAGCAAACCACATTCTAGTAAAATAATAAAAATACAAAATAAACTATAGACAGGGATGTAATTAGGGATTCTTCTCGTTTTGCTTACGTTATCACAAGATCGTGGCATGTTGTACCTAATATATGATATTAGATTATTTGTAAAAATAATAATTCGTCGCATAAAAAAATAGCTTCTAAATCTGAACGACGAAAATCTACACTCTTGCTCACAACTAACTATTCCATTCAATTTCAAAGTTTTTTGTTCGGGTTTTAATTAACCAACACAAATTACTTCATTTTAAATTTCACCGATACTAAAATAATAATATCCATGAATTATAATTATTTTATAATTAACTATAGGAGTCAAGACCCCCCCCAAATTCGGCGAAAACGACCTCACGGGGGGCTTCACCATCATGAAATTTAACATCTGATATTTAAAATATAATAAAATATACAGAACGTTTTTTAAATAAAAGAAAGTTTTAAGTATTTAATTAATAATAATTAATAATAATTATTAACAATAATTAACAATTATTAACAATTTTCATGTCTAAGAGAGATAGGTACCTACATATTATTATTATTATTATTATTATAGAAGAGTTTTTTTATTTTTGATAAAATTATTTTGTTTTAACAATATTATACAATATTACAACAATATAATATTATGTAACTGAATAGTGTAAATGCTTAATATAAAAATAAACAGTTCTTTATTATTAGAGTACCTACCTATTAAATCTTAATAACAATATAGTTATATATTAATTAATTGTTATTATTTTTTATTGCTAGCTGTTATTCATAATTAACATGTCATATACGGATTACGGTTGATAGTAATAATTGTCATACTTGATCGAAACACATGTTTGCTGCAAAAAAAAAATGCTACAATAAAAATAAACCATGATAACGAAACGAACATTATCGTTTAGTAAAATTATATTGTATGGCATAATGATGTGTACTCGCGCCGCGATTGGTTGTCGGTATATGGTATACTCCAGTATAGACGTATAGTAAGTAGTAGGTAAGCTACGTAACATCAAGCGTGTGCCATTCTCTGGGGAACCATTGAATCGAACTGTCGTCAGACCAGCGGGTTCGTGCCTTTTGGATTCACGCTATCACGTGGTGCTAACATTTAACTTGTAAAATACAGTAATTGGACGGTGAATTAATTTATATTTCTTAGGTGTTCTTTTAGTACGTTTTCACAATATTAAATTTCACTAAGTTTAAAATTTTCAAGTCCTTAAGTTATTAAAATGTTCAACCAAAAGCATTGGATACTGTTTCTCGATTTCGTACTACTAGTGCTGGGTAAGTAAAACTTATTCGTTGTGTATTATCATATTTTATAACAAGAGGAATACCTAGATTGTATTCTTCGCCTTTAAATATAAAAATTTTGCATTTTTTTCATGTATAACATACTTTACTATAATATAGTATAGTCAGACACTAGACATATTTTAATAAATTGTACATAATTTTCATATTTCTTTATATTATACATTTTAAATGCGTATTTGTCTTGAATATACCTAGTTAACAAAAACATAATTCGTTGAAAGTTACATAAATTACCATTTTTCAACTTGACAAAAATTATGTTTTAAAATATAGGTACTTTATAAAATATTGTACGGAGCTACACAAGTCACAAACATTTTAATTTTAAAAACCACAAAAACAAAAATTTTTGAATCCAAATAATTTCAGAATTGTCTATAGTCAATATAATTCAAAACTTAGGCTGTAATTACACTATAAGTACCTACCACCAATTTAATAAATTTAAGTTGTTATGATAGTTGTATTTAAAAGTATAAACAATTGATTAGTTTTTCTTTGCCAAGGTTGTATGGCCGTGAAAACATGCTAAGCTACGACCTCACAAATATAAAACTTTAATATTTTATAGTAATATTAACATAATTGTTCAATAGTCTATAATTATGTTCTGTGTTTATTAAAGTTTAAAAATATCTTATATTTAGTTTGATATAACACTTTGATGGAGGTTTTATTTTTTATATTTTACCACGATATTCAAAAAGTTAAATAGGTACCTATACCTAAACCTAATACAGTAATACTTATTAGTAGGGCCCGGAAGTTCATGCATTTGCATGTTTTTACTGAGTACATCAAACAGTGAGCTACAAATTTGAATCACAACCTAACGAGTTCAAAAATGAAATTTTAGTTTGCATATTTTGAGGTTTTTACATAAATATGCATATTTTAAAATAAAATTGCATTTTACTTTTTTTTTTTCATTAATATTTCATAAAAATTTCGGACTGAGTAGGTATATTTCAAAATATATTTGTTAAAAAATATGTTTTTATAAAAAGTCTAATAAGTTATTAGTTATTTCCAACAATAGGGTAATGATGCACGAGTATTATTGAGATTATCAATTTTATTTTTTGTCGTACATAAATCTAAGTTGATAATTTTTAAAAGTAAAAATTCATAAAAAAATGTTGTTGAACACACCTGAACAGAGCGTGACTATTAACAATTCATTCCCCCCCCCCTCTCCCCCGGCAACAAATTATGGCAATAGGTACCTATGTATTATAATTAATAGTGTTTTTAAAAGGCAAAACGGGCGTGACTTAAGTAGTTTAGTGTTACACATTTAGGATTAATTGTTTTGAAATAATCAATTTTCTTTAGAACAAAATGTTATTACAATATATTACAAAAACGTTTACAATCCATCAATTTATCAAATCCAGTTCACCATTATCCATAAAAAACTATATAATATTCCATATAAATATAGTTGATAAACTACAAGAGTGCAAGAAGTACCTACATATTAAATATACCTATACTTATCTCTGTAATAATAGCTAATACTTAATTTCATAAATTATTACTATAAAGTTTAAAGTTTGGGAGCCGTGATAGATAAAGACCAAAATATAAAGGTACATAATTCAAAATATAATTGTAGGTGTATCGATATTGTATACAGTCATAATTCATATAAACTAAATTCAAATGACTTTAAAACTAAATTTACATATTAAAACATTTAATTTCTAATACATATTTTATTTTATGAGCTTAAATTAAAATATTAAACAAAAATATATATGGACATTGTGGGCGCTGTTTAAAATATAATGTTTATTATATATTTATTAAAAAATAAAATAATTTTAATATTAAATGTTACCTATCTATAAACTTTTTGTTTCGAATTCGTTTATAAGTTTATAGGCCAAAGACGAAAGGGCAACAACCCTTGAAGTGTTGGAAGACGATGTGCGATTGTATTGATTTCGTTTGCAAAATAAAAAAAAAAGAAGAAAAAGAAAAGATGTAATTTATTTATTTATTTCTATTGGCAATGTCCCAACAATAAAATTAGTTTTGGTAATATTATTCAGGTTCAGTTAAAATATTCAGTTAAATTGAAATATTTTTTATTATTTTTTTCATTCATGTTAAATTTTTAATTGCTTAAGTTATTAGATTACAAAAATAGATATTTATTTACGTTACAAAATAGTAAGAGTAGTGCCTAAATATAATTTTACTTACGTATTAATTGTTTTTAGTACAGAAAGAATTTTAATACTTGGTTTTTGATTATAATATATATTGCAATTATGTTTCATTCTTTTATTTTTTGAGAAGTATTTTTTTTACAAAGTGCAATAAATAAAAAATGATGCGATTTTGTACGCTGATTTAAATAGTGCAGCGTTTTAATAGTGACGTTGTTAATGCACTACGTCAACAATGAACTTCCTGCATTTTAAATGATTTTAATAGGTATATCCATGACGTAGTGCATGTGACGTCGCATACGTGTATGAAAAGGAAGTAAGGTAAACCTATCCCGGAAAAGCAAAGGGTCATGCTAGTAAACCAACATATTATGACGTGTAATTGGTAGTGTCGAATTGAAATAATAATTACTGTTATAGTGCTATAAAATATTATAATATTATATTATGTATATATAGTATATACTATAGGGTGGTCCTTAAATGGCAGTTTTGAAAAAATATTTAAATTTCTCAAAGGAAACCCCCTAGATTGGTTTAGTTAGATATAAAAATGAAATATTAGAAGTTTCAAGATAATCAGAAAAAGTTAATCCGTGCCACAAGAGCCCCAAACTTATTTATTTTTGATTTTCATAAATTATTTTATATTTTAAATTCTGACCAATGAAATATTAATTGTTTACAAAATGTTATCTAACAATATTTGTATAGAATACTATTTATTAAATTTTACATCCCTTACTATTTTTCATAGAATTATTATTTTACAAACAAATAGCGTTTTTATACTAAATTTTGTTTATTTTTATAATTTTGTGGACAAATAGTACCATTGTGACATCCAATATAGAGTGTTTATTTTGTTAACTATAATCTATATCAATAATCAATATAATAAGTATTATAATATTGAAATATAACTTACTTCATACATACAATTGAATAGGAAAGTATCTTATCGGTTTGTTGAAGATAAAATGCAATACCTAACTAAATTCAATAAATATATATTTTTGTCTTATCTTATCTTGGATAGTTTAATATGGGTTATTTCACGAACAAACTGACCCGTACTAGGTATATTGTTTAAAGAGGTTTTAGTTTTGTTGTGACTTTGGTTTCGTCATTATTATATACTGCGTGTTAAATTGTGTTATTAAAGTTATCATGGTTACAAAAAGTAGTTTACGTGATGCTAACTACATATACTTAGTTGGACATCCATCATCTCAAATCGTCGGTAGTAAATTGCCGTCAATTCAACAGGTGTTATCTGTGTTTTTTTATAATATGCGTGAGGTAAAGCTTAACATAAATGAAAGTTCTAAATTAGTTATAAAAGAAGTAAGTATTTTCTGGCAAAAAGCACGTATACCGATAAAAGCAGAACAACACTGTATTACAAAATTACAAAAATATTACTATGAATGGAGAGATTTACAAAAATTGCAGCACAGAAAAACTGAAACACAACTAAAAAAAAATGAACAATTTATTTCGATATTAAATGATCTTTTTGATATTGCACAAGCTGATGCACTGAATATTATAAAGATAGAAGAAGATAGATCATTTTTAATTTCTCAAAGACAAAAAAACCGTCCTGGATCAATGATTGGAGTTGATTTAAAAATTACCAGAAAGGAAGAAAGGGCTGCAGAACGACTGAAAGTATTTGAAGAAAATAGAAAACGTACTTATAGTGAAATGGAAATAGCTAGTGAGTTAAATTATTAATATTTTGAAAATATTAAATTTATTAAGTATTAATATTGTATAATGTTTTAAATTATTATATTTAATTTATTTTAGATACGTTTCGAGACACCACTTTGTTGTCTGACGCGTCCACTAGCGAAGATGAAGAGGATATGAATCAACCTGGTCCATCTAAATCACCAACAGACTGCACAAAAAAAGTAAGAGGCAATACAGATTTTATAACGGCAAAACTTGCGGCTGCATTTGATAGATGTAAAATTAGCGACAGAGATGCGGTTCATATTTTAATTGCAACTGCAGAAGCATTAGGTAAAGATTTAAATGAATTAGTTATAAATAGAACTTCAATTCGGCGTTCACGTTTATGTCTTCGAAAAGAACGTGCTGAAAGTATTCGTAATAAGTATAAAATATCAATCGATGATTCAATAACTATTCACTGGGATGGGAAACTTTTACCGGCTTTAACAGGCAAGTATAATGTGGATAGACTTCCAATTGTAGCTTCATGTAATGGTAAAGAACAATTACTTGGAGTTCCGGCTCTTGATACCGGGACAGGAGTTGATCAGGCTAATGCAATATTTCAAACACTTGAAGATTGGTGTGTTACAGATAATATTCAAGCAGTATGCTGTGATACAACTGCCTCCAACATGGGTCGTATAAAAGGTGCCTCTGTTTTATTGGAGCATTTACTACAGCGTAATATTTTATACGTGCCGTGTCGGCATCATATTTTTGAAATTGTATTGAGAAGTGTATTTGAAGTGAAATTTGGTATAACTACATCAGGTCCAGACGTTCCAATTTTTAAACGATTTAGAGAATTTTGGTCAAATGTAAATACTACAAATTTTGAATCTGGTATCAAAAATGAATATGTTGAAAAATTATTGCACAACGTTAGTACAGAAATAATAGAGTTTTGTATTAGTTATTTAAATAATAGGCTCCCCAGGGAAGATTATAGGGAACTGTTAGAGTTAACCATAATTTTTCTTGGAGGAGTACCACCACGAGGACTCTCATTTAAAATACCTGGAGCCATACACCATGCACGGTGGATGGCCAAAGCAATATACTGTTTAAAAATATATATATTTCGAAAACAGTTTGATTTAAAACAACGAGAAGAAATATCTATTGCTAGTATATGCGTGTTTATTGTTAAATTATATGTAAAGGTTTGGTTTAAAGCTCCTCTAACTTCATGTGCGCCACTGCAAGATTTAACATTTTTAAAAGATTTAATAAAATATCAGTCAGTCGATAAGAGTATTTCAGATATATCCATAAAAAAAATGTGTGGGCATTTATGGTATTTATCTCCAGAAGCTGCAGCATTCTCATTTTTTGACGAGGATGTCTCCGTGGAAACAAAGAAAAAAATGATAACGGCTTTAAATACGGACTCCGAAGACGAATTCAGAAAACAATATATTCTCAAACCAAACCAAGTTGATTCAATTTTAAACAAAGGTCTTGAAGATTTTATATGTTCAGAATCTATGACACTATTTAATCGCTTCAAAATAAATACTGAATTCCTAAAAATTGATCCGTCATCTTGGCAAAATAATGAAAACTACAAAAAAGCTGCAGCTATAATTAAAAATATACCTGTTGTCAATGATGTTGCTGAGCGAGGGGTTAAACTAATAGAAGAGTATAATGACAAAATAACAAAAGACGAAAGCCAAAAACAATATTTACTGCAAGTTGTGTACGACTATCGTAAAACATATCCAGACTCAAGAAAAGGAACACTAATGAAGAAATAAAATTGCATGTAATGATGATAAATATTATATTGACTGTCATTTGTCACTTACATCACACTGTTTTAGTCTGTTTATATTACGTATTAGTATATTACATTTATTTTATGATATGAAGCAATAATTAATATACATTTTTTTAATTGTCAAATAATATTTACTCAAAATTTCTAAAATCGAATATGATAATTAGGCTTTTTACCATAATAGGTATGTTTATACATTTTTTTCTTTTCTTTTATAATTACCTTAATAAATTGTAAGTTTATAATAAAATAGATCAGAATATAAATTTTAGAAAATATTGTTTTCTAAAAGAAAGTTAAGTATACGTTTAAAAAAAAATATTTATTTTAGGACCTACGATTAAAAAAAAAAAAAAAAAAATTGTTTTATTGAAAAATCAAGGTATATCAATCTTTGGCACTCTTGTGGCACGGGTTAATTATTTTCAATCATTCCCAAACTTTACAAAACTCATTTTTATCACTATCCAAACGACTTTGGGGGGTTTTATCTGAATAAATCAGAGATCGAAAAATAAGGACCACCCTAATATACTATATATATTGGCCGGATATCATGGTCTATTGTACAGGAAAAACAATAGATTTATAGATCTGTGCATATTGAGACGATCCAGAGGGGCTGAGAGCTGAGACTCATGAACTTAAATATATTATAACATGACTAATCATCAATTTCAATGTCCAATGAGTAATAACTAATAATACAATGGTTAGTTTTATTCGTTTATATATTGTTATAAAATATAAATGCATAGGAAAGTTATTTAATAAAATTGACTAGTATATACTATATAGTATAGTTTTACGGGCATAATAATTGTGGATTAAATTTATGCAGACGAACCAAGATAAAACCACCTGCAAAACAAAATATATTTTATTACTATAATCAAGTTTATTTTAAGTACGTATTAATGCTATTAATAAAAGGTAGGTGTCTAATGCCTAATTCGTACATCGTATTGATTAAAGATTAAAGATCAATGTATTTATGATTATGAGTAGGTGTAATCACTAATTATATGTTGGAAGTATTGTTTTCATTATAATATTAAACTTTAAAAATATAGTCATTAGGCATTTATAGCCGCATGGGTAAATTACCTATATTGATCCATTACTATAGTAATAGTACTATAGTACTATAGTAATTTCTATAGAAGATCAAAGTCATTCTCGTATTATTCTAACCTGTAACCATTCGACCCCTTGGCCGGTAAGTTATTTATTCGGTGTGTCTATATGTTTGGTATATATCTGCCATCATATTATAGATATTATGACCTGCATGATAAATACCTATCCAAAAACGACAGCATAGCCGCATAGGCTATGCAAGATATGAAATCATTAACACAGCCGCATGTCTCTTAAGACTTAATTAACCGACTTTTAACGATATTCATTAGGTAGTACCTATAATAATAAATAGGTAATTATCGTACAAAAAACAAGATGGTCGTGTGTTTATTTTTATGTATTTTTATATTTTTTATGTATTTAGGTACCTAAGTTGTAAGTATTTATATTGTTAGTTAATTTATGAGCATCGAAAAGTGAATATGTACACATCGAGGATAAGGGTTAGGTAAAAAAAAATAACTATAGACTATAGAATGGACATTTCGATGTATTATCATTTATAATATATTGCCTGTGCGTGTATTGTTAAACTGAAGATCTAATGCGATAATAAAGAGATTTTTAAGTCCCTTACAATAATAGCAAATGAAAATTATTTCATTTTGATTCACTTACAAATATTATATACGATTATATAATGTTTATTTTGTATTCTATTGTAATATTTTTTTATACGTATGAACAGCTCTCAAAATAACCATAACAATAGGAATGAGATTTTCGTCTAGTTCAGCTTCATTTTTCTCGTTATGTCGCACACAAGTTATATATACCTACGTATATAATATAGATGTATGTAGACATCGTTTGACAATACGATTACAATACACTATATAAATTTAATGACAACAATGGTGGCTAAAAGTAACTGGAGTACGGTCATGACCATAAATATCAAAATCTAGCCACATTTCCACAATAGAAGTAATATTGTCCATAATATTATGTAAATTTGAATTATCACCCTACCTACCGGTGGATTGTACGAGTCTAGAAAAGAAAAATTAAGTATCTATGGATATATGTATATAAATATATAATAATAAATACATATCGTTATTACACTAAAATAATATTCAAATGTATTAAAATGTATCGTATTAAAAAATATTGAAAAACAATTAATATTCTAGCTGGTGTTTCTGTTCTACTATGAAATGCACAGAATCAAAAAACAGTAAATAGAAGTTAAAACAATTTACATAAAAATATGAAATAAAAAAAAAATCCTATTAACGGAATTCAATTAACTTTTAACTGATAAATATTACGATATTAATAATTATCATGATAATATGTTATTTCCTTTGACAAATTATTTCAAAGAATCATAATTTTACAGTAATAATAGACATTTTACGAAGTAATACAATTTAGACAAATATAAATCATTTTAATTAAAACCAAAATATATTGGCGCAAGACAAAGCAATTTATCTGCAAATGATTAATTAATGATAAAAAATAATAAAAAAATAAAAATAATATGATACAGTTGTAAATGTGAAACATTGTCATGGCAATAAATTAAATAATATTTAAAAGTTCTATACGCGTATGGTACATTGGTACATATGTTATACTATAAATGTCTCACCGCCGTGTTGGCCAAGTGGTAAACAATTAGTTTTTTAATTATTCATTTAACTTAAACATTTGAGATCTATCTTTTGAATGTTCTAAAATCTACAGTATTAGAAATTGGCTACAATCGTAAATCAAAGTTTTTTGTATAGCATTATAGTTTGAATTACGATCATTTGATTTACTTATGATAGATATTTTATGTAATATACTAATTATAGCTCCCGAATTGTATATTTGTAATTTGTATGTAAGAATTTAAGATTGGTGGTTGCCAAATTCTTTTAAGAGGTAATTTTTAAAATTCCTCAAAATTTCTAAAAGTTTTAAAAACATCTACCGATAACATGTAATAAATACGTTTTTAAGACATCTATTAGCAATCGTCGATTTAACCGAAATCGCCATAAAAGTTATTTTTCAAATTCGATGATTAATCATTGTATTATAAATGAACCTATATTGTTTATTTTATTTCTAATTTTATATATCTATGTGCTTTGTATACAATTTATCATGTTTAAAAATTATGTTTAAAGAATACTGTTAATACCTACTGTTGATGGTTCAATATTGGAATTTTAGTATAAATAAACAAAATGATTAATAAGTCAAGTATTTTAAGAATAGACTTATAAATATTAGCTTTAATTTGACAGATTGTGAAATATATATAGGCATCAGACACTATAGTACTATTATACTACTATAGTAATATTTTATTTACATTGGCATTTAGCCCAAAGTTTTAAAGCTTGCTGTTTTTAGATTGTTCTCAAATCTATTTTGAAGATGGGGAACCATCGAAATAAAAATAAATTCCATGCTTGAACTATTTATTTTGTATGATATAACAAGTAAGTAACAATTAACAGTTAATCCTAAACAATTAATTAGGAACAGTTCAGATGTTCAGAACATTTGATTATGGTTCCTATTAAATTTTAAATTTTAAATTGTATGGATATTATTGACTATAATAATAATATAACATATTAAAATTTAAAACAATAGTAACCTATAACTATTACTGTTTTGTTTCCATAAAACCAGGTACCACAACTACCGCGATAGCTTAAAAAATATTGACACCTGCACTCTGCAGTCCTTTGCTTCATGAGTGATCCGTTACAAAAATTTTTATTAATTTTACATACATTATTAGAAAGATCAATACGATTATTTTTCATAATTGGTTGGAATTTAACTGAATTGTTCATAATATATCAGTCAAATAATAAGGCTGCCTAGTCCTTAATCATAGGTATTAATTGATTACAATGGTATGATATAAATATAACCATTACCTAATTCAATACGCATAAGTCATTTTATTGACTTAAAAGTCTGGGAATTGAATGTAATTTTTTCAATCTTAATATGTAATTTGCGATGAATTTCTGATGATGTTTCTTAGTATTACATTAAAGTATAAACTATCAAGGACAAAGGTGTGTAAGAGACTTGTCAGTATTAAAACAGATTAAATTTGTGCATGTGATTTGTATTGCGTATTATGTCCGAGAAGTAGTAGCGAATGTGTAAAATATGATTTATTATAATATATAGTTAGTAGTTACTATATTGATTGTTGATTAATGATATGAGATCATAAAAATCTAAAGAAATATATTTTTAGTGTGTTTGATTAATGATTGAATTCAAATGTAACTATCAAGTCTAAATGTCTAATTATGTATAGTACCTATGACCTAGATAATATTAATATGTAATAATCTTAATATCTATGTAGTTTTTGAAAATATGATTACTATTATAAAATTTATTTTTGAATAATTATTATTCATCGTATATTATTTAAAATGTGTGAATAAAAATAAAAATAAATTTTTCATCACCTATCTTTATAGACAGATATTTTTTATCTTTTGCTTTGTATAATTGCTGAGTAGGTAGATATTTACATTCATATACTTATAAACTTGCCTTATAATATTTATTTTTTTAATAGTATTACTTTTATAATTTTTAGCTATGAATTATTTACTATAAGATGCTTATTGCTCATCGTCTGACGGTAATTAAATATCAAAGGTTAAACATTTCTTTTTTGAATTGTAATACCTATTATGTATTATTATAATTTTTAAAATATTATATTTAAATTAAATTGTCCATTCAAAATAGAGTAGGTATACAATGTTTTTCGTACAGGTATCTATAGACTATAAGCATGATTAACGTCGTTTTATTAGTAATCAAACTTTTATCATTTTTACAGCATTT